CTGCCATCCTTCCCTGCGTGGCAGCCGTGCCCTGGGCCCTGCCTGTGGAGTTCTGTGGTGTAACCCAGGAACTGGCAAGAGCCCCAGGAGCTGCCTCTGGCCTGGGGCTGTCCCCCAGCGCATTACTCACTCCCTTTCCTTCTCTGGAGCGTCCCCCTGTACAGCCCGGAGCCTGTTTATCCATCCCCATGCCATCGGCTTTGTTCTGCTGTGGTTTTGCACGCTGCACGCCATCAGCTTCCCATGGACAAGCAGGAACTTCTCCCAGGTCGCGGCCATCCTACTAGCATGTAACACCAAGTACTCCTCATAGTAGCTGGTGTACAATAGCAGACCTGTTGCCATACAGAAAATTTCCCACACTACGCCTTCCATCATGCATTTCTTTTCATAACATCTTTACCTAAGTCATCTCCCTTGCAGAGAGCGTGTTGATTTAAACCACCAGCAAGTCTGGAGGTCAGCAACACTGGGTACCGAGCACGCGTCCCTTCGAGGAGGTTCCCCCTTTCTCTTTTGGCTGTGCTACCAGCTTAAACCAGCTTCACCCTTTGGAGACACTATACCCAAATGTGGAAAAACGTGGTAACTGTGGTGCCTCAGGAAAATTATCTCTTCTCTTTTATTAGGAGGGGAAAAAACCCCCAATGCCTCATATTAATAGCTTAATGGCCTACCTACTGGAATTGAAAAATTCCTTCAGTGTCCAACATGCACCATGTCTAGCAAAGCGCATCACCTCTACCCTCTACTTCAAGTGATTAGATTGTAACTGCTAATATTTCAAGTAGTCTGCTTTGCTTAATCTACACTCAATTCCTGCTTCGATGCTTCCATCAAAACCACAAAAAGCACCCCTTTTTGAGCATGAAGATTAATTTCTTACTCAATTTCTCACTCTCAGCAAAATACAAGGAAGGTTCCTTAAGGCTGAAAGAACAACAGTTAATACAAGTGAATGAAAAAGCTGAATAATTATTTATATGCTAGTTGTTTTTAAGTCAGCAGTAACTGAGATCTGTGGACAAACTGGAAGAAAGCTGTCTCACAACTCAGTTCTGAAAAGCACAGAAGAGATCAGCACAGAATCCAGAACATTCAGCAGCACATCTAGAATGAACGAGACACAGAACTACACAACAGCCATTACCATTCTTTTGTATGACCTGTAAATCAGACAACTTAAACCTGCCGCAACTTGAGACCCGCCAGTTCTGCAGATGCCGTCTTTGTGCCCTTGCAGAAGACAACAGGGTAAGAACTCAAATACAAACATCTCGGGCCCCTATCAAACATCCATCATTAACGCAATGCTCCTGAGAACTCGAGTATGTTATTCTGGACATCTCAGACAACAGACTGTTCAAAGCAACCTTCTGCAAGGCATCAAAACAGGTAAAGGGCTAAAATCAGGACCATTTACAGGTAAGTAATCAAAGGAAATCTTCATTTATATACACTATCAGCCTGAAAACAGGCAAGACCACTCCTAAAAATCTCCAACTGAGAAAAAGATTGTAGTGACAATCTTAGGGAAGCTGAGGAAGTGTGGGCTGGATGAGTGGTCGGTGAAGTGGATTGAGAACTGGCTGAATGGCAGAACTCAGAGGGTTGTCATCAGCGGCGCTGAGTCTAGTTGGAGGCTGGCAACAAGTGGTGTCCCCCAGGGGTCAGTACTGGGCCCAGTCTTGTTTAACTTCTTCATCAACGACCTGGATGAAGAGTTAGAATGTACCCTCAGCAAGTTTGCTGACGACACCAAACTGGGAGGTGTGGTAGATACACCAGAAGGCTGTGCTGCCATTCAGCGTGACCTGGATAGGCTGGAAAGCTGGGCAGAGAGGAACCTGAAGAGGTTCAACAAGGGCAAGTGCAGGGTCCTGCACCTGGGGAGGAACAACCTCATGCACCAGTACAGGCTTGGGGTGGACCTGCTGGAGAGCAGCTCTGCGGAGAGGGACCTGGGTGTCCTGGTGGACGACAGGTTAACCATGAGCCAGCAGTGTGCCCTGGCTGCCAAGAAGGCCAATGGGATCCTGGGGTGCATCAAGAAGAGTGTGGCCAGCAGGACAAGGGAGGTTCTCCTTCCCCTCTACACTGCCCTAGTCAGGCCTCATCTAGAGTACTGCGTCCAGTTCTGGGCTCCCCAGTCCCTTCCAACCCCTACTATTCTGTGATTCTGTGACAACATCGAAGTCAGTAAGAAAATGAGAACAACGCTGCACAGAAAACATAGGAAGACAGCTACAGTAATCACAGGCTGCTGAGCTACACCTCAGACACTTGTGGCCGATGTGCTGCACAAGCTGCACTGATTTCTCAGTTATTAAGGCACTTAAGCTAAACCAGACATCAGTTCAATAGCAGACTACATCATTTTGGACCTTTTGTGGGACTACAAGAAGGAAGACATTTGGCATGAAAATACATTATTTAACAAGACTTCTTTGTAATATCTCTATATGCACAGCCCAGCTCTTGGGGCTCATCCCACTGTGAGTCGTAATGAGAAAGACTGCATGTTCGCAAATTATTCCTTAAAGTATTTAGAGTCAGAACAGTTCTGTTAAGAAGTTAAAATGGACATATAGATGTTCCCTTCCAGCCTGTGATTATACCATAGATATGGATGAGAGCGAACAGGTAAGCTCAGTGTAAGCACGAATACGTATGCACTGTTCTGTGGGCCTGTGCATTGCAGCAGAAACCCGGCAAGAAAAAAGAAAGCACCTGGCTGACTCAGAGCTGTCAGCATGGAAGATCAAACCAGTGCTAGCTCAGTACGGAGTGGCAGCAGCAAACTGTCAGGGCGGTAGTCAGGAGAACGGGACAGTGACTTTTATTTAAACAGAACAGCAATGTCCTCACTGCCCTCCAGAAGAGAAGGGGTCTGACTGACAAAATAAATGAAGGTGTCACCCAAAGTCTCACACCTACACTGGTGCTCTCTCTCTCCAGGCCCTTACAAGAACAGGCAACTGACGACACACTGGCCAGCAGAACATATTGCACAAATCAGGTGTGTGGCTTTTGTCAGTGACAGTAACTTTTATTATCTTTACAATACAATACAAACGATTAAAAAGTAATTTTGTTTGGTAAAATATTTAGTACATTGAAAATATAAATGCATCTGCAGATCAAACAAGATTACATGCATACCAAATAATTTACAAAATTTAAACATTTATCCTGATCAAAGAAGGATAAAACCCAGCAGTTCCAGAACCATGCTCCTGGCACCTAATGTTTTGGAAGCAAAGAATTTCATTCTTTTGTGCACTAATCCTACTCTGTCCCCAAAGCGTGTGGAACAGAAAAGGTCAGTTATGTAGTTGGTAAAAGCCTGGGGGGCGGGAAGGGGGAAGACTAAGAATAATGGCAATTCCTCTTGCAAACCCCCTTCTCCACTCATGTTGGAATGCGTCCTGTGCCAGAAAGCCATTTTAACTTCACTTTCCCACAATGGCCAAGATTGAACATAAACAGTTTTATACTGCATTTAAAAAACATAAGTTCAGCTAACAGCCCAATTTCACAATTTTGTGCTTTTATAAACATGCAGTTTTTCTCTCCCGGGAAGATAAAATATAACTATGTTAGCTCCCTTT